TTTGTTTTAGAAAACAAAATACACATGGATACATACGAAGACTGGAGAGAAATCACCAACATCTTCATAGCTGCTCTCTTTAGGTAAGAGTATAAGTGATGCATACATTCTTTCCTGGTTTTGATTATTTTAAACATTTACTACAATGAATGTGTTTTGTCTTTTCTGTGCGACACTTTTACTTTATTATTATCTTTATTTAGAGTCGAATTCACTCTGTGAAACTGTACAGTTCTAAGTTTTGACAAATACAGTTGTGAAGCAGCCACTGCAAGCAAGACACAGAACTGTGCCATCCCCCCCAAACCCCCTAGTGCCTCTCCTGTGGAGGCAGCCCCTCCCCGATCCTTAACTGTAGCAACCACTCATCTGTTCTCTGTCCCTATAGTTTTGCCCTTTCCAGAATATCATATAAATGGAATCATACATTGTGAAGTCTTTTTCCTTTTTCCTTTTTCTTTTTGGCTGCACCGCGAGGCATGCGGGATCTTAGTCCCCCGACCAGGGATCGAACCGGTGCCCCCTGCAGTGGAAGTGCAGAGTGTAACCACTGGACCACCAGGGAAGTCCCATTATGAAGTCTTTTGAGTCTGGATTCTTTCAGTTAGTAAAATGCTTTCTCTCATCTCAGAGAAAACAAACAAAAAAGCTATTAAATTATATTTTTAAAAGTTAAAAACTATTTTTTTACTTAAAAAAACTTCATAAACTGAATTCTAACTTTTTTTTTTTAATATGAAGGTAGCAGGAAGTACATCTTCAACTGAGAATTGCTTTCTTTTCTAGGGTTGCCGTTTCTTAGATGAACCTGAAACTGCTTCATGGCGTTTTGGGAAACTTAGCAAAAATAAAACTGATTATCGCGGACAACGGAGAATGTCTTTCATGAGAATTCACTCTCCATAATGTCTGTGACAGATGCTGAAAGCAGAGAAAGTTCCACTTTCCTAATAAGGCCACGTACTGCAGACCTGGCTGGGATCCTCTTGGGCTCGTGGCACCCCAGCCCTTGGAGCACCTGCCACATTCTGAGATAATTCATCAATTATCAGATACAAGCAGTTCAACTCTGTTGCTACAGCAGCCAATGCTAAATTGTAGGGATCATTTTTAACAAAACTCTCCTACTTCAAAAGATTCCTAATCAGGGGAGATACCAAACCTCACCGGCCCTTTGATCCGAGTTCTGTTGGCCTGTGGGAACGAGGAAAAGAAAGAAAGAAGCACCTTATGCTCATTTTCACAGAACTCTGGGCTCTGGTGCATCTGGTCCCTGCTCCAGCTATGAAAGTGAAAGATGGCAGCACTGGGACCCCACAAAGTAAGGAATGGTTTGAATTTATCCTTCTGGCCACCAATCTGGATTAGAGTTCATCATTTTGTCTCCTTTGCTAAAATGTAAGTTATCTGAAGGCAGCCATGTCCCACTTATCTTTTTAGTATTTCCCACAACATAAATGTTGGGTGAATAAACAAATGAAGAGATAAAAGAAGGAATGAAAAAAAATAATTTTCCATCCTGAAATAATGGAGGTTCACTTCAGATCTGTAATCAGACTTTCCTCAACTTCATTTGTTAATATCTCTGGCATGATTTCAGTGACAAGTTAACATCTGAGCCCTCGGCATTGTGAGGTGTACGTCAGACTGTGGAACGAGAACCGAGGAATTGTTTTCTCCACAGCACAACATCAGACTACATGCCTAGAGGAACAATGGCACAGAAACAGAAAAAAGAACAAGAGGGAGAAGGAGATGAAGAAGAAGAAGAAAAAGGAAAAATAATATTTACATGGCATATAACTCATAAGGACCTTTCACATTTATCATATATTTAACAATGATAAAAATATACAGAGTAATGGGCTTCCCTGGTGGCGCAGTGGTTGAGAGTCTGCCTGCCGATGCAGGGGACACGGGTTCGTGCCCCGGTCCAGGAAGATCCCACATACCGCCGAGCGTCGGGGCCCGTGAGCCATGGCCGCTGAGCCTGCGCGTCCGGAGCCTGTGCTCCGTAATGGGAGAGGCCACAACAGTGAGAGGCCCGCGTACCGCAAAAAAAAAAAAAAAAATATATATATATATATATATATATATACAGAGTACTGATGACTTCCCAAGAATTAGGAACAAATTCATTCTATTTATTAAAATTTACCAACCTCCTTTCCTATCATAAAGATGGAGCCTAGGAAGGGGCCTCTCTCCCAGAAATTCTCCCCTGATAGGAAGGTCAGGGCCTGCCTGCTGGGCAGGGACTTCAAGAAGACAGGCTGGACAGCTAGGGCCCTCCTGCAAACTAGAGGAAGGCCAGGGGAATTACAAAGTGCCCAGAAAGCAAAGGATATTCAGGAAGTTGTTGACTACGTAGAACAGGGAGTGGGACAGAAAGAACAAATGGCACAGACAATCTTCAGAGCTCATCAGGACCACCACTGCCTCCGTCCCTCTACCTTCCTACCAGGTGCTGGAAGGCGGCTAAACAGGTGAGCCAAATATCACTTTTACTTCCAATCCATTTCCCTGCCCCACCCTGGCTTAAGTGCAAATAGTGAGGCTTAAGTGCAAAGCACCAAAAGAAAGCGGTAAAAAAAAAAAAACCCACAAAGGTGATACACATAATACACTAATCCACACCTGAACAATCAGACATCTTGGCAAATGCCACTGTCATCAAACACTCCAACACCATTTACTGTATGGCCTTAAATAATATCTTTGACCCTGAGTATCAGGCTGCTTCTGGATGGGGAACACGTCTGCCACGACTTTAAAAAGTCTCTTTAGACCTTTTTTCCTGTATCCATAATAAAGATAAAAAGACATCAGAACAATCCATTCCATCTTCTTCTCCTCCTCTAACCACACACACACACACACACACACACACACACATACAAGCTCACACGTTCAAAGCTGAACTACAGGAGACTCTGGGAGCAAATCTGGACAGCGTTCCTCCCCGAGGTCCTGTACAGTGGAGTCGACGCTGTCATGCAGCAAAATACTCCAAGTTCCACAGCCTCTAGGGATCAGCATTTAAGGAACTCGGTTGGTATTTCTGTAATATGAACCATCAATACTAACATTCTGGTTCAAAGGCACCTATGGTTGGAATAAAGGAAACAATTTGGGGCACTTTTCTCCACCCCTTTTCAGAAATACTTTCTGTGGGAAAGGAGGAGGTTGGGTAGGGGAAAGAGAAACACAGAACGAGGCAGAAACTGAGACACAAGTCATTCTTTGCGGGGGAAAAAAAAACATTAAAACTTATAAATGCTACTATAATACTATTTATATTACTCTATATTATAAAATAGATAAATTATTCCAAATAGAATTATTATCCAAAGACAGAAAACCATAATACAATCATTTTCTGCTAAGAAACATGATACTGTATATCTAAAAACAGTATAAACAAATGCTACCCTGAAATAACCGTGAAAGTTCAGACATAAATCCTCAGGGTAAAAAAAGCACAACGATGGTTATATTACAAAGTTGTATTCCTCAAATTTAGAGGATAGTTCAACAGAACAACAAAGCACAATTTATATTCATTTCCCACATTTTCAAAGGCTATGTATAAGGAATTCTTTTAATTCATCATGTTTTTTAAACTTCACACAGTGTAGATACTTTATATTTTAGAATTTATTTGATGAGAAATACATTATTTACCTATGGCAGTCAATGTATATTTTTGAAAGTATCAGATATAACTAAAAGAAAAAATCGTGTTTACCCTAATACCCCCAGCCCCCTGGAAGAAAGCTTTCTGGAACAGTTAAAACTATTCATTTCCGTCCACATGGAAAGGAAGCTACCCATGTATCTTGCTTCATGTGAGTCATAAGGCAAAGTCTGAAGAATTAAAACAATAAACTGAAGCCTTCCTCCCCAAAATGCAGCCAGCAAAATTTATGAGACCTGAAAGCATGGGCTACATTAGTTTAGCAACACAGAAGAGAATTCTGCTTTTGCACAGACCAAGCCACTGAAGCAGGGAGAAAACTGTGGGCTCCTTCATGGATTTTCTTTTCTTTATTTTGTGAAGTGAGGCCCTGAGCCTGATTCACAGAGGACACACACTCTGTTGACTGACTGACTGAATGAGGAAATGGCACTAAGGTGCCTGATCAAAGCCCAGGGGGTTTTGCAGAGCACTCTATCAGAGTCTGTATGCAAAACATTTTCCTTTCTTTTTCTCATGCTCCACGATGGATCAAAGATGGTTGCAGATTCTTTGTCATCTCTTCCGTGGAACATCCCCTCTGCTATCTGCCCTAATTGGGGGTTTAGGGGTGTGCTGTGACTGCTCTGTCCAAGAGAATATGGAAGAACTGACTCTGTGGCAGTTTCCAGAGCCAGGCCCAAGACCCTGGCAGCTTTCAATTCCTGTCTCTTAGAACATTCTCTTGGGGAGACCCAAGCTGCTATGTAATATGTCCCACTGCTCTGAGATTGCCAAGCTAGAGATGCTGTGGGCAAATACTCCAGCTTTTAGTCCTAGCTATGCTCAGTCTTCCAGCAGCCCTTTGCATGGTGCCACACACTTGAGTAAACCCACCTTGGACCCTCCAGGCCAGGCTACCCACCGGTCGACCACCATTAAGTGACCTCAGTCAAAATCACGTACAGCACAAGAACAGTCCAGCTGAGCCCTGCCCCAATTCCTGACCACGAAATGGCGTGATGTAATACAATGGCTATTGTTTCAAGCCACTGAGTTTTGCGATAATGTATTACACAGTAATAAATAACTGGAACGTATTCTTTCTCTCCTTCTAGTGATTAGCAGTGAAAGCCACAGGCAGCCATGCTGATACAGCTAGTCTTTGTACTCATATACGTTTGGCTCTCAAGACAGTGCAAATAGATGTTGGAAGTTTGAAGCAGCGCTTTGGGCTTTTAATGCGATGGCAAGTAGATACCTACCCACTAGCCTTGCCACCAAAGGCCACGAAGCCTCCACCAGGTCCCACCGAAGGCCATACCTGCCTCATGAGCTCCTCTTGACGCATCCTAATTCTCTCTCTCTCCATCTGGATCCTCTGAAGCCGAAGTTTCTGCTGCTGCTGCTGCTGCGTGGTCAGCGCGTTGGGCATACTCATGAGCCCTGCTGGTGGGTTCTGAGGAGGGTGACTCTGCTGGCTCAGGGAACTGGGTGCCATCTGCTGCTGGTGCTGGTGATTCATCACTGAAGGAGGGAAGGAACAGGCGGGTTAATGACCAGGGACCACAGCACCTTATCAAAAAGAGTTCATCAGAATGCTTTGCGCTTTACACTATAGATTCCTGAGATTCCTTCCAAAGCACTTTCCTGTTAATCATTACTGTTGAAGTAATTATTACCTTAATTCAATTCATGGAGGCTCAGATACTGGCCCTTCTCCTGACTCACCTAGTCGTGGCTTTTGTGCCCTGTTAAAAACCTGATTTCACACCTTGCCTGTGTTCTAGAATACATTTTAAACCTTTCAGAGAACAGAGTGGTCGTAAGTAAATTCCACACAAGTTGACACAGCATAAAAGCTAATTTCACCAGGACATCTGGGGGTGTGTATGCACAGTCTCAGATAAACTGCATGCTTATGGCAGGGCTAAGGAGGGCATGTGATCATTGATAGGTGGTGGGTAGAAAATAATACTTAGGATGGATGAGTGAATTGACGAGTGACATGTAAAACATAGTACCTAGATCAGGGACCTACACAAAAGCAGGACGCCATTCACGCTTTGTTAAAAGAGGGTGCCCCAAAGAAATTATTTAGTGAGAAATTATTAGTGAATAATTAGAGAATAATTTAGTGAGAATTATTGTGAGAAAGAAATGATATAAAAATGCTAACAGCGTTTGTGATTGGATAAAGCCACAAGAAGTGTTTGAAACTTTTTACGGATTTTCTATTTGTCTACATTTACCGACATTTAAAATTTTGGCATGCAGTACTTCACTTTAGAAAAAAAAATTGTAATCCTTTAATAAATTCTATAATTGGTGTCTCCCCACCCCCACCCCCCACCAAAAAATGCATCTTAAAAAGTGCTAGCTTTCCTCCAAACAGTTTACCAGTCAAATCTGCTTAACTTCTGCCTGGGTAATATCCTACAATAAAGAAAACCATGCTTTTCAGTCTATTTGCTCCTAGGTCAGGGCCAAAGGCAACAATGCGTAATTTTATATACTTACTTCATTTCTGAGGGAAAAAAAACGCTCAATTTTTGCTATATTTGGTATCATTACCTTTAAAAGATAAAATTATTGGCATACTTTACTTAAAGTTCAAAGTAAAATATTTCAGATCATCAGTTTGTTATGGATATTACAAGGGAACATATTTTATAACTAAACTTTCTTAGATGAATTTTAAATTAGCCTAATCAACTATGTATTAAGTGAATGTGTAGAAAACACACACACACACACACACATTGAAAAGAAAGTACCAGGAAACCCTCCTACACTGTTTGTAGGAATGTAAATTGGTATAACCACTATGCAGAACAGTACGGAGGTTCCTTAAAAAACTAAAAATAGAACTACCATATCAGCCAGCAATCCCACTCCTGGCCATATATCTGGACAAAACCATAACTTGAAAAGATACGTGCACACCAATGTTCACTGCAGCACTATTTACAATAGCCAAGACATGGAAGCAACCTAAATGTCATATAATATCACAAATATCATATAATATCACTCATGTGGAATCTAATTTTAAAAAATGATATAAATGAACTTAGTTACAAAACAGCAACAGACTCACAGACTTAGAAAACAAACTTATGGTTACGAAAGGGGAAACGTAGCGGGGAGGCATAAATTAGGAGTTTGGGATTAACATACACACACTATTATATATAAAATAGAGAATCAACAAGGACCTACTGTGTAACACAGGGAACTCTACTCAATATTCTGTAATAACCTATATGGGAAAGGAATCTGAAAAAGAATGAATATATGTATATGTATAACTGAATCACTATGCTGTACACCTGAAACCAACACAACATTGTAAATCAACTATACGCCAGTAAAATTTTAAAAAAGAAAAGAAAATACCAACACTGAAGATTTTCTGTAGAAGACCTGGTTTCCTTAAGGAAGAATTAATTCCATGACAGGAACTTCCTCTGGATGGGAGTAGAGGTGGGGTAAAAATACTTTTTTTTTTTTTTTTGAAATTTACTTATAACTCACTCAAGTCTTTATCACATTCCCACTGTGTGCTGGGCACTGGGTTTGTAGTTGAATAAACAGCTCCTGCCTTCACAGGAACTCACAAGGAACATGTGAAGAAATGAGGTGGGTTTTTATGCTTGGCTGTGGAGCGCTAGAATGTTAGGCTTTGTAAGGACTCCTGGAAAGCATCTAGTCCAGCTTTTTATTTTGGGAAACCCAGGGAGGTGAGGGGTGTACTCTGCTTAGAAACAGGTGGAACCAGGGCCATAGCTGAACCCCCAACACTCCGTCCACCTGCCCTTTCAACTGTCCTTGGCCGCCCTCTGCCACACCTGAAACTGAAGACCAGGAACGATCACTGAAACTGAGGCAACCCCTCTACACACGGTTTCCCTTCAGTTGATCGCAAGGAAGCACCACTTAAACAGCAGACCCTCAAAGCACTCAAAACAGGGCCCTGGGACAAAGGTTGCTCAGGTTACAATTAGGAAGGGCTCAAGGAAGGTTTGGACAGATGTACAACTCTGCTCAATCCCAGGGAAGTCACTCGAGGCAAGGTAAGATACTGGAGTATTCTGCCCAAACAGTTTGGGCTTCACTTCCCGAATCAAGCCCACCACCAAGAACTCTCATTTCTTGGCACCGTCCCTGGCACACAGGGAAACTCAGTAAATGATGGGATGAATGACTGAAACCAGCTGGGCATTCCTTATGTTCTCAGTTTGAGAACAGAAAAAAAGCACAGCTGTGATCAATGCCAAAATAACTGAAATAAGTACGCCATTTCTACAGCTTGTTGGAGCATAATCACAATCTCTATGTGAAGGCCTGGGTGGGAGGGTCAGGGATGGGGCACACACTGTGTCATCGGGGAAAAGTTCTCTTAAATACCAATTCAAGTAAGACAAAGTCCAGATATCCAGAAGGGTTTAATTCATAAGACCTCCTTCAGGCCAGGAGAAGGACGCTTAGATGGAAGAATAGTGATTATCTCCAGGCACAGTCGTTTTTGAACCTTCTGAAAAAGTATGCTCCTATTTTTCTGATGTAACTACTATAGACAAAAAAAAAAAAAAAAAAAAAACAAATTGTGTCTATAAGAGAAATGTGTAAATTGAATATTTCCAATATCAGAAATCCCCAGGTTAGGAAAAAAGCTTAAAAATGTTAAATCTTTTTTGTTAGCAGTTCAGAGGTTATGTTAATTTTTATAACTCAGGTTCTTTGAAAAATATTAAAACTGGCTCAAGTCTGGTACTTACTGACATGACAAATCAGACCCATCTGCCATAACTTGGGAAGACAGCATTGTCAGTCTACTCACACAGGATTCTGTTACTCCACTCCACACACTGTCCAGATACTGCTTGGCAGGTTTTATTGATGTCTGCATCCTTATCTGGGGGAGTCTAAGACTTGGAGACGATCTCTTCCAAAGCCACACCCTTGCGAGCCTTTGAAACACCAGCCCTTACGGCGACCATCCATTGGGGAGGCATGGTGGACATGCTGCTTTCTTCCATTTAATTTAGATTTGATCATTCAGACGACACTCAGACTAAACATCTCCAGCTATTAACTGTAGTGACTGGAAAAGAGTAGAACTTAGCCAGTGGCTTTGTTTTCAAAATAAAGCACACCCACCAACGGAGAAGTCTATATGAGAATATTCACCATAGTATTGTCCATAACAGCAAAAGACCAAAAACAGTGATCCATTCATTCAGAGGAATTTTCTATGTGGCTATTCTGAAGAATAAAGAAGCTCTGTAGGTCCTTCTATGGAACAATCTCTAAGAAACAATGTTTAGAAGAGGGAAGAAAAAAAAATCCAAGGAAAAGAAATGCATGTAAGAGCATGCCACTATTTGTAACTAGAAAAATGGAGGCAGTGGGCATTCATATCATATCAATACATATACAGCAAATCTCTCTAGGAAAATACACAACAGTGGGTGCCTCTGGAGAGGAAACGGGGTGTCAAGGATGGGAGGAGATCTTCCTTTTCCTCTTCTGCACTGTTTGAAGTTTTTCTGTGTGCATTTATTATTTATGTAAAACATAAAAATGTGAAAGTAAAAAACAGAAAACAAAAGCACAGTCATGGCTTCCCTGGTGGTGCAGTGGTTGAGAGTCCGCCTGCCGATGCAGGGGACACGGGTTCGTGCCCCGGTCCGGGAAGATCCCATATGCCGCGGAGCGGCTGGGCCCGTGAGCCATGGCCGCGGAGCCTGCATGTCCGGAGCCTCTGCTCCGCAACGGGAGAGGCCACAACAGTGAGAGGCCCACGTACGGCAAAAAATAAATAAATAAATAAATAAGCATGTCATGTATGCATCAAATATGCAAAATATTTTCTTGGTGGACTGAAAGGAGGTAACCCCCAAATTATTTGAAAAAAACGAATAAGGCTTAAAATATAGTCAAGATCCTCAAAACTAAGAGCCTGCCTGGTGCAACTTCTTGTGAAGGTGAGGAAACAATACCCAGAGAAAAAATGAATTTGGTCAAAATCATAAAATGGTCCAGGGCCTAGAAGCCAGGTGTCCTCCCTGACTCAACCCAGGTGCCCATGATTCCACCTGTCACTCTGTTCCCTCTAGTCGTTTCATTTCAGACTGTTTTTGAATCTTTTATTAGGTTGAATCTCATGAACTTCACCGATGGTTGAGGTTCTAGCTACTCAAAGACAAAGAGGCAACAGAGGCCCAAGACAGAGACAAACAGAGAGGAGGTCCTCAGGAGAGCACAGGAAGGAAAACATCTAGACTTGCAATGAACAAAATACTCCTTGGGATAATATTCCATAACATTTTAGGGAGAGAATAGTTCAGTTTAAAAAAAGAAAAAAAAGAAAGAAAAGCAGCAGAGTATCTCAAATGCAGTATCTGAGGCCAAACCAGTTAAGGGCAGACTGCCACTAAATGCCTCAAAAAGGCTAAAGACCTAGTCAAGTTCTAGACTTTTGCCAGTCCCCACATAAAGGAATAACCCAAACAGAAGATTTC